GTTTAAAGTGAGTTTAACAAGACAAAAAGAGAATAGTGAACAAAGAAGCTGCAAGTGTGCAAGCCTTGAGTTTCACCCTCTGAACTGAGCCAATTCTACAGATTTCTCTAAAACGTCCACTTCCCTTCCTGTGTTCCATTAGTGCCTGCCCTAATCAACCCCTAACTCTGGCTTTCCAAAACTCTGAAAAGAAACATTTGCTCTGGTCTCTTATTTTGGAGAGAGGTGAGTGATTGGAGATGACAATATTCCTTGCAAGTTGTAAAAAGCCAATATTCGCTAAAACTAGGTCTCCAGATATTAAAGCAATGTATGTGGGTTTTCTAATTTCTCCTCTGGTACTCATTTTACAGCAAAAAGTTCCTTCTCTCACACATCAAATTAAATGATATGTAATTTGCTTTAACTCTTAAAAGTTATGTAATTAAAGGCAAAAAATAAAAGTGCTGGCTTGATTTCTCAGGGATATTCCAATCATCAAGGGAAGCCCCTTGAATGAACTCAACAGACATGGTCAGATTCTGTATAAAATCCAATCCAGGGCCAGAGTGATAGGACAGCAGGTAGGGCACTTGCTTTGCATGAGGCCTATCCAGACATCCCATATGATCCCCCCAGCACTGCCCGGAGTAATTCCTGAGTGCAGAGCCAGGAGTAAGTTCCTGAGCATCACTGGGTGTGAGCCAAAAAGCCAAAAAAGGAAATAAATAGATATCAACCTGGTAAGCTAAATACTGTAAAGATAATATCTCCTGTAGGAAATTTTACTCTAAAATTAAATCTTTTAGTTAGCCTAAATGTTTGACGAAGGTATAAAAAAGGGTTGATAAACTCACTAGTATCTCAAGTTTTATTTGCAGGTACAACTAGTTATCTGAGTGTAAACCCCATCACATACACTGCTTAGCACTTTGGAATTCTGAATGTATTTCATGGCTGAGGAGAACAGCTGCATTGGACCTTGACGCTGCTCAGTTCTCCCAGCACTTCGGAGAGATCACTAAGCACTCCAAAAACCAGCAAAGAATCTAATTAACTCCTGACCTACTTTACCAGATGAAAATAATCTGTTTTCAGAAAGGTATAGGGTTTGTATGTTTGCTTTAAATACTTTGAGGCATCTTAGATATTTTCTATCTTTATGCTCCAGTAAAGATAGAAAATTTAAAATCAAATATAATAATATGTTTACTTTTTTGCCACACCCAGATGTGCTTAAGGGTTACTACTGCACTCAGGTATCAATCCTGGTGATGCTCTGGGGATGATATGGAGTTCCAAGGTTTTCACCCTGGTCAACCACATGCAAAGCAAGAGCCTTGTCTTAATGGCTGTACTAATTCTCTGGCCCTTGAACCTAGGGATTTGATGCAATGATTAATGGAACCAAGATTAATGGGAGGATAACAAGGATGATTTAATTTGTATTGATGCAGTTTGCTAAAATGTAAACACTGGCCTCATTATTTTCTTAAATGATGCTTGACTTTCTCATTCCTTAGCAGCTATGGCTTCTTGAAGCACAATCTGAAAATTGGAAAGAAACCAAGAACATACAATATGAAGTAGATTTAGAAATGCCTTTTGCTGTTTCACATCTAGTTATTAATCTAATTCACAGGGGCATAACGACATTCTGTGAGTCAAATTCAGTTAGCTATCTGATTTTGTCTGACCTCGGAGAAAATAATTTGTCTTGTTTCTTGGGTTACACTTGGTGGTACACAGGGTTTATTCTTAAATCTGTACTGAGTGATCACTCTTGGCCATGCTGGGGGACTATTTGCAGTGCTTGGGATCAAATTGGGGTCAGAAGTGTGCAAGGAAAGATAACTGTATAATCTCTCCAGTCCTTTAAAAAATCTCTTAGCATTTTAAATAGTTGTATTTTAGCAGATAGATACTTACCTACACAATATCTCCATATTGATTCCTGATCTAAAATATTAAATATTTGGCCCTTTATAAGATTCTTTTCTGATCCGTATTAAATTTAAAGTTCCTGTGACAGGTTTAATTGTTGGAAAGAATGTAAGAGAATACGAAGTTTACAGTGAAGCACTTTTACATCCTTATCTTAGCTGTCTGGAATTTGTTACTTAGGATTTTATTTGTTATGAAATGTTTAGCATCCATTCTCATGAAAGATCAATGTCCATTTCAAACTAACTCAATAAAGTATTATTTAAAATTTTATGTGCATTAGTTTTGAGTTGGGCTAGAGCAATAGCACAGCAGTAGGGCGTTTGCCTTGCACACAGCCAACATGGCCAACCCGAGTTCGATTCCTCCACCCCGTCTCAGAGAGCCCAGCAAGCTACTGAGAGTATCTCACCCACACGGCAAAGCCTGGCAAGCTACCCATGACGTATTCTATATGCCAAACACAATAACAACAAAAGTCTCCAATGGAGACATTACTGGGCCCGCTCAAGCAAATCGATGAAAAACGGGAGGACAGTGACAGTGACAGTGACAGTTTTGAGTTACTATTTACTGAGATGATCGATTTTGTGTGTGTGTGTGTATGTATATATATATTCATTTATTCCTAAAAATTTAGAACTGAAACACTGGGACTATTGACAGCAGCAATTCCTCATGCCTCATAGATTGAGGGCTCAAGAAGGATCAGTCTCCAAAGGAACATTAGAAAAATAAACTCCAACATCGCTCCTGTCACAAGGAGTCACTCATTGTGGACTAAAGGAATGCTCTTCCAGGGATCAGGCAGTGATATCTAAAGAGTATAGAATTGGCAGCCAGAGGTTATTAACTTGCTCACTGAGAAAGCTAAATCATGTTGTCTAGTCCAGATACAGAAATGGAACCAAGACAAGGTGTTCTCCTCCAAAAGTGTTGCTTAAACGAAAGCAAACAAAGAAAAACAGAAAATTAAAGTTAACACTAGGATTACAAATACTATCTTAATTTATATCCTTGCAAGGGAGTATAATCGTTGAGGCAATTTTATAAGCAAAAGTTCCAAAATATTTGTTTCATTTTATCAGAAAAATTAGAATAATATAAATGTTGAGCATGTAAACAGATTAAGATACTGTGAAGATACTTAAAAATAAATTTATGGTTTGAAAGGTACTGATGATTAGAAATTACACATTGTTTTAAAAGTAGAATGCAATGATATTCTTAGGGTGATGTGGCAAAGTTAAGTTCTTATGTCAGTGGGATTTGTATATTTTAAAGATACTTTTACTGCAGAACTATGAATCACGTAAACAAGTAACCAAGTTTAATTTTTAAGCTATTTGTTGATTTTAAGCTAATTGTGAATTTTTAAGCTATTTGTTCAAAAAATAAAATTTTCATACTGCATTAAAGGTGATCTAAATTGCTTAGGTAGGATCCATATTCAAAATCTGGTTAAAATATATAATACCTGCTTAGCCATAATAAACTACCTTTTACTATTCTAAGCCTATCCACTGTCACATCATGTTAACCAGAAATGTCGATAATTTCTTTCTTACTAATGAGAAAACATCACATGGAGGTTAGGCATGTTGCTATAATAAGTTCCCAAAGATAGAGACTGAAAAATAACTTTATAATACTGTCATTGTTTTAAATCTGCTGTGGATGCTTTCTCTACAAATCTCTACCAAAAATATTTTTTTAATTTTAAACTTTATGTTTTAACAAAATGAACAAGTTTACTCACTCTCAACATAACCTAAGGTCCTGGTTTCTCATTTAATTCAACCACATCATTGCCAACTCTCTACTTCCTTTTAGCTTATGTAGATGTGCCCTGTTGGTAAAAGTTTATGAAACAGGAAAGAATGCACAATGACAAGGAAACGGCAGAAGGGAACACTGAAATGTGATTTAAGCTTGACCCTGACTATTCCCACTGAAAAAGATAGCTATAAGAAATTACCAGACGCAATTGCATAATATGGCCAAATAAAACTCATTATGAATAAATATCTGTTAAGGAAATAACATGGAACCTATCTAATTTGATATAACAAAACAAAATCGGAGTCAACGATTTCAATGTAGTCTCCTTTATCCACCTAAGAAATCTCCGTTTGACTGCTGACCATTCTTTCAATCTGAAAATACAGAAACATGATTTTGGTGTAGCCAGTTGGTTCAAGTCATCGATCAATAAGTCAAATGCCAATTTCATTAAAGTGAGCAGAGGAAAACAGAGAGAAGACTGTTAGACTGAAATGTCCGTAGTGATACCCCATCATTCCAACAGGTTTAAACTCTGTCGGCTGAGGTTATCTTTCGTTCATATCCAGAAGCCCAGACCCCCAACTCTCCGCTACAGCCCGGAGGCTGAAATTAGCAGTCCCCCTTCAACAGGCCCCTCCACAAGGGTTAAAAAAAATGATAATAATAAAATTTAAAAAAAATTGTAGGGGAGGAGAGGAAAAAAGAAAGAGAAATTTCACTTTATTTCAGAATTCAAGGCACTTGAGTCACAGTTGCTTAAGGCATGGTCAGAAGAGTTTATGCAAATCAGAGACGACTATTTTATAGGTCTGCAAGGTGTGAGAATTACAGAGGAGCCAAGGTCTTCCTTCTGCATTCAGTTTCAGGGCCTCTGGAAGCGTGATCGCCGTGGGACCTTTGTGGGTCCCCGGGGGTCCTTCTCCGCGCGTGGGAGCCGCCGGGCCTGCAGAGCCTGGGAGCGGCCCCGGCGTTGGCAGCGCATTCCCACGCTCAGGCCAGGTCGGGAGGTCGCCCTCCCCACCCCACACCCCGCTCCGGAGTGCTCCTTTCCCCAGGCTCTCGCCTTCCCGGCCCCGCCCGACACCCCTCCTCTCCGGGTCTCCGCCGGGAGCGTGGGAGCGCAGCTGCAGCAGCCGGGAGCGGCGCGCCGAGGCAGCTCCCAGGATGCGCGCCCGCGCCCCGGCCGGGAAGCGCTGGAGGAAGCGAGGCGCGGGGGGCACAGCGCCCGTGTCGCCCGGGAACCCCCCTGTGCGTCGCGCCAGCAGCCTGAGCGAGGGGGACCTGTCACTTACTTGACGTCTTCCCACACCTCCGGACCATAATTGCGGATCACCAGCAGCTCCAGCGCGTGATTCACAAATCCGTACTGCGGGAACAGGGAGGGGGATACCCGGGGGTCAGGGAGCGGCAGCCGGCGGGAAGGGCCGGGCAGCTGCAGCAAGAGCTGCCGAACGGAGCCCAGTCCCCCTTGCACCCCTGCTGCGTTGCGGGGGACAGCGCGTTGCTAAAGAGGGGTCGCCGCCAGGGCGCGATCGTCTGGCCGCCCGCCCCACCCCCATGCCGCCTCTCCCCTCCCCTGCTCACCTGTCACCGCTCAAGGCGGAAAGAACCCAGGGGCGCGCACCCCGCGACTCCCCCCTGCCTCCGACGCTCAGCCTCCCACAACAGCCGGCTCGGCCCCCGCCCGGGAGCCCCCGCGTCTCGGCCGCACGTCCCCTGCCCGAACTCTGGAAGCCACCGTGCAGCGCGGCGGACCCTCCCGGGGAGCACAGGCTTCTGACAGCTCGCGCCGCCAGCCCCCCCCCCCGGGGTCCCCAGCGCAGCCCCCCGAGGAGCTTGCACACAGCCCGGCTGCTCGCGCCACCCGCCGGGTTCTCCCCGGCCCCCGCGCCAAGTTCCGGTGGCGCGGCCGCGTCCCTGGGGTAACCAGGCCCGGCTGGGACCGGAGGGTTCTAGAGGCGGATGGCGAGCACTCACCATGGTGTCTGCTCCCGGCGCCGGGGGGAGGCCGCCTCCAAGCAGAGGCGCGGTGCAAGGGGACCTAAGGCGGCGGCTGCAGCGGCGACAGCGCAACAGGACCGCGGCTGCAGCTGAGAGCTGGAAGGAGCGCAGCAGCTGGACCGCCCTGATTGCCACCTCTTGGCAGCCAATGGCGAGTCGAGCCGCAGGAGGGCGGCGGCTGCCTCGCAGCTTCCAGCCAATGAGCGACAGAGGAGGGAATTCGGATGCTCTCAGTGCTGCTGCGCTCCAGCCCTTCCCGCCCCCGCCCCGGTGACAAGCCTTTCATTTGAGGCCACAACAATGACGACGGAGAAACCCCGGCCATGCTCCGTGCCTGAATTCTGGACCAGGCGAACGCAATGGTTGTGGCTCCACCAAAAGTATTCCTGACCTCATCATCAAAGAGCCCTCAGGGGTTGCAAAAACTAAGGAGGCATGGTGTGTGTGTGTGTGTGTGTGTGTGTGTGTGTGTGTGTGTGTGTGTGTGTGTGTGTGTTGCAGAGGATAAGCCTTAAAAGAAATATGTCCTTATGCCCTAATGGTCAGTATGATCGTATTTTATCATTGTTTTGCAGATAACATTTCCTTTGTGGTTTGGTTCCTCAACAACTACTTCTGGTAAACTATAATTGAACAATACTGGCTGTAGCACATTTTTATTTTTAGTCGATGGGACTAGTTGAAGGAACTAGCTAAAATGTACAGTCATTTAGTTTGGTATGTGTTGTGTTGAAACCGTTCTTGCCCATGACTAAATTTCTCTTCCAGATGGAACCGGGTCCTAGTTTGGTGAGGTGAACAGCCTATACTTTGGAATCCCTTGACTCCGGGGAGTTTTTAACTGTCTAGAATGGCTTCTGTTTCTCCTGCTTGGATATTACTGATAAATTAGAAAAGGTCAAGTGCAAAATGAGCAGTCTTGAATTCATATGACACAGCAGTCTCACTTCCTGACCTCTACCCCAAAGCCCCAATGAACACAAATGTCTTTTCTGAATAGGTTTTGGGGCTTTGAGATAGATGTCAAGAAATGAAAGTTTGAATGAGAGGGATGGATACAGAATGACTTCTGTCATACTTAGGATATGTAAAACAGAGTAACGGAATAGCAAATCACCAAAGGCACCACAACCTAAGAAAACTGGTCTACAGAACTGAACCTACCACTGCGAGGGAGGGAAAGGGTAGTCAGAGGGAGAACTTTATGGACAGTGTGGTGGTATTGGAACATTACACACAAAATTCTCTCATTAACAGTATTGCAAACCGTGGTACCTCAAATAAATTTTGTTCTCATTAAAATCATGAACATATAAACGGATGTACTCCAAATGTACTCCAATCTAGTAGACACTTCAGTTAGTTAGTGCAGAGAGTCCACACAAAGGTGAGTGGAACAGGAATAGTTTGTAGGGATTGACTAGTGTTAGTCCGAAGCAAGGGTGGAAGGGTAGGAGAGAGATACCATTGGAAAGGGTCTAGCCTTGTAGGCAGCAGACCTGGTGTTAGGTCCCCAAGCACCACACATGGTCCTCCAGGCACTGGTGGGAGTGATCCCCCAAAATGGAGCCAAGAGTAAGCTTTGAACACTGCCGGCTGTGGCAGCCTCCCTGCTACCCTCAAGAACACAAATGAGAAAGGGAAAGTAAGCTTCTCAGGAAATCAGTCTCAAGTGAGTCTGAGAAGTTTGATTGGGATTCTGTGATGTGAATAGTTTTCTGTGAAAACAATTTCAATATGTCAAAGAAAAATGTCAAAATAAAATGCTACATCCACAGCTGGAGGCTTATGTTGAAGCACAGTTGATGTAAAAATGATTATAGTGCAGGCAAACGCAATGGCAAATAACTTCAAACATCCAATTTTTATTGACAGAAAAATGATTAGTCATAAACAGAACACTTTATTCTGCAAAACTGTTTGTTTGGTTAGTTTCTGGGCTACATCTTACCATGCTCAGGGACCATGTCTGGAAGCACTCAGGGAAATATGTGGAGTCCTCAGGGATCGAACCTGAGTTGGCAGTGTGCAAAGCAAGTGCCCTGGTGTTCTATACAACTATTAAACCATTGCTGAATTATAGCACTGTAGTGTAGCACTGAGATCCAGTTGTTCATCGATTTGCTTCAGCGGGCACCAGTAACGTCTGCATTCGTCCCAGCCCAGCGATTTTTTAAAAATTTTTATTAGTGAGACATCATGAGGTACAGTTGTAGACTTACAAATTTTTGTGCTTGGGTTTCGATTATACGATGATCAAATACCCATCCCTCCACTAGTGCCCATTTCCCACCACGACGGATCCCAGTATCCCTCCCACCCCCATCCCCCCCATCCCACCCTGCCTCTGTGGCAGGGCATTCCCTTTTGTTTTCTCTCTCCTTTTGGGTGTGGTGGTCTGCAAAAGAGGCACTGAGTGGCAATCATGTTCGGTCCATAGTCTACTTTCAACATGCATCTCCCATCCTGGGAGTATCCTCCAAACACCCTTTATTTGGTGCTCCCTTCTCTATCTGAGCTGCCTTTTCCCCTAGCATGTGTGGTTGGCCTCCAAGCCATGAAGTAAAATTCCTGGTACTAATCTCAGCCTTTCTTGGGTGTTAGTCTCCTATTTTGTTACTTTATGTTCCCCAGATGAATGCAATCTTTCTATGTCTATCCCTTTCTTTCTGAGTCATTTCGCTTAACATGATACTTTCCATGTTGTACCACTTGTATGTAAATTTCATGACTTCATCTTTTCTAACAGCTACATAGTACTCCATTGTGTAAATGTACCAAAGTTTCTTTAACCAGTCATCTGTTCTTGGGCACTCAGGTTTTTTCCAGATTCTGGCTATTGTAAAGAGTGCTGCAATGAACAAACAAGTGCAGATGTCACTTCGACTATACTTTTTTGCCTCTCTGGGATATATTCCCAGGAGTGGTACTGCTGGGTCAAATGCAGCCCGACGATTTTAACAGCCTCTTGTCCTTCGCAACTCTGCTGTGTTGGAGGCTCTTTCAGAGTCAGGGGAATGAGACCTGTTATTGTTACTGTTTTCGGCATATCGAATATGCCACGAGTAGCTTGCCAGGCTCTGCTGTTGCTGAATTATAATTAATTTTAATCACAGAATGGCCATGTACTCATCAGTGGTGTTAAGCATGATCGAGACAAAATTCCAAACGAGAGAGTCAACACTGAAATCACGAGATCCAAACAACAGAAATTTTCTAAGTTCTTTCTAGATGTCTTTTTAAGAGGACAGACTGGAGGAGTTGGGGAAGGAATATGGGAGAGAAGATGGGAACTTTGATGGAGAGAAGTTGACACTGGTGCTGGCCAAGTGCTGAAACATTGTATGTCTAAACCTCAACTATGAGTAACTTAGTAAATCAGGATGCTTGAATAAAACTTTTAAAAATGACACCTGGTGAAGGAAAAGAAAACACAGAACAGGTTGTAGACAAAGATATTCACACTACTACAATCTTTTGTCCCTTTATAGTAGTTGTGTGTATGATTTTATGTCATACTATTTGCATTTTTTAATTTCCTATTCTTGTGTTTGTGTTAGTAGATAACCAAGAATATAAATATTATCTAAGACTTACCACTTTAAAAAATGGCGCTGTACTCTAGATAAACATGTAAAAGATAGATAAAGATGCTTCTTAGGAAGGCAAAAGGAATATGAACATAACCACCTCCATGTTTGTTTGTTTATTTGTTTTTATAGTAAAGGGAATTGAACCCAGGTGTCTCACTCCTGGGAGATATGTGCTCTGCACCTGAGGCATGTTCTTGACCTCTGTGAATATTTTTCATTATGTTCAGTGCCCCCCCAAGTTATGAATAGTTTTATACAATAAGGTACTTTCAGCTTATAAGAATGCATTGTAATAAGCAAAATCTCGGAAGCCATTCAGGAAAGTTTTGCTAGACTCATTGTCTCTAACGGGAACAAGTGAGTGGAGAGACCAAGAATTATTACCTTCTATATCTTAGGTTTTTTTGTTTATGTAGATACAATAATTTCTCATGTTTTTTTTTTCATTGAAAACTGTGCTATTATTCCTCCCTGTCTTCTTTTGAGCTGTATTAAACAATGTTGTTTTGGTTACTGTGGTGTTCTGGGCCTTTGTGCTTTCGACTTTCTTGGAGAAAGGAAAGAAAACTGCTTTCTGATGATTCAATGTGTTGGAAGTTGACCTGGAGAAAGACAGGAGAGGACATGAAAGATGAAAGATGGGCATTCTTACCAATAGCAGACAACTTTTTTTTCCTGTAGCACTGTCACTGTAGCACTGTCCTCTTGTTGTTCATCAATTTGCTCAAGTGGGCACCATTAACTTCTCCATTGTGAGACTTGTAACTGTGTTTGGCATATCGAATACGCCCCAGGGCGATTGCCAGACTCTGCCGTGCGCAGGATATTCTTGGTAGCTTGCCAGGCTCTCCCAGAGGGATGGAGGAATCGAACCCCAGTCTGCTGGGCTGCCTGCAAAGCAAACACCCTCCCCACTGTGCTATCTTAGATGTTCTTTCTGTGCACCAAGCAAATGTTTTTTATTTATTTATTTATTTATTTATTTATTTTATTTTTGCACTTTCCTGCCTCTTGTCTAACACTTATTTGCATCTGTAAACCAATTAGTGATTTTGGTTTTGAATCGTGTTATATTCATTCTGCAACTAAGAGAAGGTCTGTTTATTAATCCTTCTCTGTCTTAGATCTGGTCCTTATGATTTTATGAAGGATGATATTTGGCAATAGGATTCCCATTAAGCCATGGAGGGTCTAAAATGGGGTCACTGCCCTTCTAAAACACCTTTCCCATTGTCACTGCTATTTACAATGGAGCACGGGATAGAGTCATAATTAGAGCATACCATATCCTTGGGGGAAATATATATTGCAATCTCTGTTTGTCCCAAACTGTGGAGAATCAAGCAGAAAAAGGAAGCATTTAAGGTATGGTTTAGCCAGCTCTAAATTCAACATTCAATTAAGCAATCTGAAGATCATCCAAGACTTGTAAATAAAAAGGCAATATGTAGCTTTCAAAATGTCAGCTGAAGGGAGTTCCAATTACAGCTTATAAATATGTTACTTGGATAAGTAATATATAAAGCATATTATAGCTACCATTT